GACGAATTGTCTTTAAGGGGGGGAGATTGTAATACCTGAATTTATTTTTCAAACATGTATCCAAATTAAATTTTAATGAACCGACATCTTGGAAAATTAATATTAATATTTTAAGTGCGAATACTGTGAGAAACCGAACCGAAAATCGATTGAAAAAGCCGAAAACCAGTTGCAAACCAAAGATTTGGGCCGAATCGAATCGAATCGAACCCGTTCGACCCAAAAAACATCTAGGAAACTTCCTCCTCTTATATTCAACGCTTATCTCCCTCCACTTCATTGAGTCCTGCCCTCCAGTTCACCGACAACCTTCCCCAAGCACTGCTCCTCCCTTCTTCTTCTTCTTCTTTTCTTCTCTTTCTTCTTCTTCTTCCTTTTTTTTTTCTTTCCTTCTTTTTCCCTTCACTGCGTCTGTGTTCTTGACGAGGCAAAACAGCAGCAGGTCGCGCGGACACCCCCAGCGATCGGACCTTTCCTCGCGCGCCACCGCTGCTCCCCGCGGACAGCTCGACCTCGGCAAGCTTGCCGTTCCGCCCTCCCCTCACCGCTCGAACCAAGCGGGAGACAGCAGCCTAGAGAGGACTGCATCGCGCCTCAACAGATCTGTCGCCGCCACCGCCCTTGCGCCGCTTCCAGTGTGCCTTCCGACCACCAGGAAGAGCCTGTCCAGCTTCTTCGCGCCCGTCTCCGCCTCTCTCCGGCACTGTCCAGTCGGATTTCGGCCACTGGCAAGCTTACTGCTCTTTCTATCTTGGCATGTGTAAAAATCTCCGATCAGCGAAAATTCGACAAATTTATATTTTGAGGTTAAAAAATAATTTTTAATGCATTTTCGTTACTTTTGAATTAAATTTAATTATTTGTAAGTAATTAATTTAGTTCATTAATTTTAGTTAACTTAATTTTAGTTCATTTTGCGTAGTTAATTATTTTATGTTGGTGAAAATTAATTTAAGTAGTATGAATTATTTGATTAATGAAATATAGAAAGTAAATACAGTATGAAACTACTTTTTGAGGAGTTAAATTAAAAGCAATCGTGTTGATTATTAATTATTTAACAATATTTTAGTTAAAATTTAATACGGTATTAACCTAAATTAATTGAAAAGTCAGATAAGTCAGATGAGGGAAATTAAAGAAAATTTATAAAGTATGTTGGTTACGCAAAATGTTGGAGGATGGATTTTTGTTTGATTGAGTTTTTGATTGCGCCCGATGGATGGCTGTGTGGTGGAATAATTGATATAATGTTGATATTTTACCAGGTGGATTATCAAATTAGGGGGGTTGCTGCCGAAAAAGTGATTAGAAAAATAAATTGTTATTTTAAGAAATTAAATTACTTATAGCGAATTATTATTCATTAGAAAATTAAAAATATTAGGAATAAGATTATGAGACGATAAATTTAATCAAATAAATAAATAAACAAGGTGGAACGAATTTATATGTTAGTTCAGGGAATTAAAATACCGACTAAAGTTATAATGTTATGTATTTATATGATCAATCGGCATTATATTATTAATATTATTATCATTAATCATATTAATGTTTTGATTAGTATTTATCATAAAATATTAATTACCAAATAATTAGACGTTCTACTCAATGAATAAATAGAGAACTAAATCAAATAAAGATGCACTATAGATATACATGTTTAGTTTGATAAGTTAGTGAAACCGACGAGTTAACGAAAACAAATAAATGAATGTTTAAACTGCTTTTCCCAAATTTAGATTCTTATGTAGGAATTTTCTTATTATATAGAAACGTATTAAGTCTCGGACTGTGGAAGACAAAAGGCTGGAGCGCACAATAGAAAGGCAGTCTTTAGACAACAAAAACAGTGAGTAGTGTTAGATAACTAGTACATCCGCCTGCATTCATTGCATTCACGGCTAAATGTTATCATGCATTATTTTATTGAATTGCCATTATTATTGATTGCCACCATTTGTTTGATATTAAAAATTGTTTGATTACTGTGCTGTGAATAACACTGTGCCTTTGTTTTGTGGGAAATTGCGGATGGACGTGGAACACCATTGCGGGTTTGTGAAGACGGTCTGTGATATGGATCCTGAATATGATTATTGATATGAAATTTACGTCGGCCGGGGAAATGGGAGATCGGCCCCCCGTGCTGCACCTATGATATGGATTGCATGGAAAACCACAGGGATGGCTTCTTTGTTGTTGCGCACCCTGATAATCTTAGATTTGATTGTAGCCCGCCAGGGTGCGCCTTCCTGTTTGTGAGCACTTGATGATCTAGATGGATGGAGACCACCGGTTGCCTCCTGTGGGTATGGAAAAGAAAAAGAAGGAGAAATGGAAAAACAATGAGAGGAATGGTCAGTGAGGATTAGACCACGTGGCCGTACTGCTGGGAACGGACTCCCGCGTGCACATGTCATGAGAGGGCGAGCCATGTGTGAGGACGGCTCGTTGGGTTTCACGGTTAGGTGCCACTGACTAATTTTCCACGTGATGGATTATATTGAAGCGTTGTGGGGGGAGGATACTTTTTGATTGCCTGTTTGTACTGCCATTTTTGTTGTGAACAAACTGCATTTGATTCATATAATTTAAACGGTAACTAGATTAAAATATTTTACATCTGTTGTGATTGTGTTGGTGAGGAGGGTTATCTTTTTAACCCTACTCATTGAGTTTTTGGCGCTCACCCCTGCCTACTATTTTTTTTTTCAGGTAATAGAAATGAAAAGGGAAAAAGCCTTGGTAGAGTTGAGACACTTATTGTTAGAAGACTGTTAAAGGATAGAAATAACGACTGTAAATATAAGTAGAGTTCGCAATTGTATTCCATTGGCGTTGTAAATAAAATAAATAAAGTCCATATTAATATATTGAATTGGTATTTTGAATGGCATATGCTATAATAAGTTAATGGCCTGAATCCATAATTATGAATAGACTGTGAGATTTAAATAAGTTAGGCTTACTTACGGGGCTTTCGGGGGCCTTAAGCCTAACCCAGGTTCCTAGTTGCCGGGTCCGACCACACGGAAATGGGTCGTGACAGTATACTCCTAAATGCGGGTCGTGGATCAGTTAAATTACGAGATTTAAATAAGTTAGGCTTACTACGGGCTTCGGGGGCCTTAAGCCTACCCAGGTCCTAGTGCCGGTCCGACCCACGGAAATGGGTCGTGACAGTATATCTCCTAATGGGGGTCGGTGGATCAGTTAAATACCTTGTTTAACCCGACCGACCCGAAAAATGAAAATATTAAAATTTTTAAAATTTTTCTTCTTATGACTCACTCTCTTTCTTTCTTTTTTTACTTGTAAAATTAAAAATTCCAAATCAAAATTAATTTTTTCTTGAAAATGATATGTTTTTATCTCTATTATGTATGTTAAATACTAATTAGGAATTTTTAATTTGCTATGGTTTGGTAATGATTTGAAGATGGAAAATTATAATTTATGTGATTGTGATTATTATGGTTTGATTGTATTACGATTTTTTCGTTATGAATGTTTGATGTTAATTATGGTTTGATTATTATTTTATAATTTTTTTTATTATGATTGTTTGAGCAATAATTATTTTTTAGACAAATTTTTTAATTGTATAGGGTTCAAATAAAAACTTTGTGCAAAAGCCATATTACAAAAGTATCCAAGCTATAAAAAAATATTTAGTTGAAAATCGGGTTAAACGGGCCCGAATTACTCGACTCGATTTTTATAGGTTATTCGGGTGGGGCTCGAACTTTTAAAGAGGTCGGATCGGTGAAGCCATTCCCTCTCATTTCGGGTTTCGGGTATTTCGAGCCAAGTTGGGGCGATTGTTGCTCACCCTTACAATGAACTGAAATAATACTGTGAATTACAAAATAACAACAGTTTTTCTCTTAATCACTAAATTAGTGAAAATTCTTATCTAACTCAAATTTGATACCTTCCGCTTCTATATTAGCGAGAAAACCAACTAGATTGCATCTAATCGACTCTTATACAAATCACTTATTTTATAAAAATAAATATAGTTTGATTCTAATACACATGTTAAAAAAAAAAAAAAGTTGCATCATAAGTTCATAATTTTTCCTTCAAGGTTCATGTTTCATATAATTATCTTAAACTATACTTGTTGTGCAATGAAAAATAACACATTTGTTAATAAGGATGCACATTAAATAGGGTCAGTATAAACAGAAACTTTAAAGATTATTCTTTCTATAAAAAAGGAAATAATTTGAGACAAATTAAAGAGAAAAATAACAATATTTTTGTAGGAGAGAAAAAATTTATGAGTTGGATTTGTTTACCCTCAATGTAAGGGGAAACAAATAAATATAATGATAAATTAGACAAATTACTCTTAAACTGCTTGAGGCTTAGTTTGATAAAAGATCGCATGAACTAATTCAAGAAGCTTATTGAGCTAAGCTTGAGATGAGCTATCAATCTCGTTTTATAAACAAGCAAATTTCAAACATTAGTTCGCGAGCCAATTTTACTGAGTTAAGTTCACGAGTTAGCTCAATAAATTAGTATCAATTACATAAACATTAAAACGACATCATTTTGGTTTGATATATTTCTAGCTCAAGTTTGAGCTTGACTCGTTTATAGTTTTGAGCTGAGCTTGAACTCACCGGAGCTCCGCTCGACTCTGCCTATTTGTTAATATTTTTTTAGTACAATAATGAGATGAATGTCTTTCTATTGAGAAAAAAAGAAAATGGCAATAAGTTATAAAATTTTTACAAATCGTACTTAATTATTTGTTTGGTAGATGGTGAGGACTCATACATTTAAGCAAATATTTTCTGGAGTTCAATTTGAATTTGCACTGTATTTTTTTATCATGCTTCAAGTTTCATAAAAAGAGCGTGTATGAAACATGCGGTGAAAGCGAGTGAAGCAGAGATTCGAGAGTTGAGAATTGCTGTCTCAAAGTATTCTCTCTCCTCTCCTCACAAATTTATATGGGCCTTAGGGCGTCAGTTGTTGCTTCTTTGTTTCCCTTCTCTCTCTCTCCCTCTCTCTATCTCTCTCTCTCGCGTGCAACTTCCGAACATTGAAAAAGGAAAAATATTTGGTAGCAAGAGAGAGATATAAAGCTCTCCTTCTCAGAAAATACACACAGCATCAAGAAAATAGAGCAGAAGAACAAAAACGAAAAACCCACAAAACAAAGTAGACAAAAAAAAAAAAAAAAGAACAAAAAAAAGAAGTATCAAATCTATTATATTTTGAGTTCTATTCATATCTTACACAGAGAGATCTTGTCCCTCTACAATGCCTTCTTTGTTGTAGCGGACAAGGTAATCTCCACTTCACAGATTTCGTATCACTTAATTTGTTTTGGGTATTTCTTCTTTTGTTTAATAACAAAGAAATTTTCTTTTTCTTGATTTTTTTCTTCCTATTTACGCTTTCAATCCAGCTTCTTTATCGCTTTTGATTGATACCCATTAATACTTAGGAACTTGACAAAAGGTGTTACTCTTATGTTCTCTTTATTCCGTTCTCTTTGTTCTTCAAGTTTCCAAGAGTTATACTTTTTTTCTGGGTTTCTTTGAACAATTTGTGTTCTTTGTGGGAACTGAATTTTAATGGGTTTTTGTTTTGTTGGAGGCTGGATATTTGCTTAGCGAGTTTGGTATATTTTTTTAGGGTTTTGCCTGATCGTAATTGGGAACTCATTGAATTTCGTGATTTATGAACTACTTAGGGTTTTGATTCGGAGGAGCTAAGCTAAGTGAAGAATGAGCCATCTTTCAAGGAATTGGAGCTCTGGGTTGGTCAGTTTACAAGTTGTGTTATTGAACTGTGAGATTAAATCGAGTAACTATTAAACATTGTTAGTGTTGGGCATGGAAGAGGATTGCATATACATGATTGTGGGACAGTAAACAAGAATTGGGTATTCTGTTTCTTTCTGAACGGCAAGGGTTTCCGAGTTTTGGCTGATTTTTTGTCTTCCGATCTTCAACTGGGGAATGATTTGGGTATTGGGTTTTGGTTATAAGGAAAGGGAGGTGATGCTTCTTTATTGGCCCAGGAGGCAACATAGAAGATCAGATTGTACTGGACTGTTTTCATTTCTCAAGAAACATTTTGGTTTGACGTAGTTTGAGCTTTGGGCTAAGTTTTTGACCAGGAGGAACCTTTCTGAAGTTACTTTTGCAGTTGGGCTTTTCTTGAACTCTTGCAGTATAGTGCAGTGTAATATTTCAATAGGTTTGATTTAGTGGAAATAGTGGTGAGTTTTGGGACTGAGAGTGTTTTTCAGTGATTTCTGTTTTAGAGTGTTTTTCGGTGATTTCTGTTTTACCTTTGTGCGCATTTCGGTGAAGAATACAAAAAAGCTTAGTGGATTTTGGTATATCTGTTTTTGGCAGTGACTGAGAAGCTCATGGAGAAGTGTTGAAGCTGGAAATGAATGCGGGGATATGGTGCATGGAAGGGAGAATAGTTACTGGTCCGTTCCCTTTTTGGAACAGTGCTACTGGAAAATAATCCAACCATTTTCTTTCATTGGAGGTGCCCACGTTTTGTTTTCTGAAATTCTATGCAATGTCGCGTTGCTTTCCATTTCCACCACCAGGATATGAAAAAAAGACTAGGACAGATGATGTGGACTTACTAAAAAAGGTTAAAATGCTAACCTTATTTTTTTTTTTTATAATGTTACATGTTGGCATGGCATTCCTTATGGTCATAAAATGGAATCACTTTTTGATGTGCATTGGGTTGAATCAAGCAATCGCCATTCAGTTTTTACTTCCATTACATATTGAAAGCCTTTGGAGAGTCTGTTTTGTTGTGTCTTAAATTCAATTAGATGCATAATTTGGTAATGTATTGGCTTTAAATAAGGTATGAAATGTTTTCTGCTGCTGATCGAACCAAATTCATTTGAATAAGTTCCGAGTAAACAACAGATGAGATTTTAATTATGTAGGGAAACAGAGTTCAGTGGTTGGTTTGGAGACTATTAAAGATGTTAGATGATATTGGACTGCATTGGCATAGTAGTATTCCTGTTCCTTGATGCACTGAATAATTCATGATTTTATTTGTCTTTCTTTGAGCTATGTTTAGCTTTTGTCTCTTGAATTATCATATTAGGATTTGTTGTATCATGTCTCCTATGTAGGTATCAGGAACAATTTCTTCAAAGACATATAGTTACTCAATACCTAGTTTAGGATTAAAGTACTGGTAATGTAATATGTTGATTCGGACTTAATTTTCGACCACAATGTGATTATTTTATCATTCGAGGCTCTGCCATGTTGCAGCTAGCATGTTTATGAAGTTTTCATAGTTGCTCTTGTCAATATGAAGGGGTCAATTAATTGTCCTTGAAGTTATGAAGTTTTCAAGTTGCTGGTTCTTCTAAGGATTTTTGATGATTTAATAGAAGCAAACTAAGAACAAGGAAAGAGTAATGAGTTACTTAGTTTTGCAGGTCTTTTTTGTGTGTAATTAGAATGAATTAAATATGAGTTACTTAGTAACTATATAGGCTTGGTTATGTGAAGTAATGCGTGTGCGTTGAAAGGCATGCAATTATTCGTGCGTGTGCGTTGAAAGCTATTACAGTTGTTCATAAATGATTTTATCTAATTCTATCTCAATTCTGGATGCACTTGGAATATATAGTGAAAACTAGATTTTTTCTCTCTAAACGAATTTGGATCATTTAAGACACAAAACTATAAGTAGATTAATTAAATGCCCAATGTTGAAAAGTCTGCATATATTATAAAACTAAAAATTAGCAAAACAAATTTGAACATGCAAGAAATCTGAACAAAATGAAAGCAAGTATTTTTTAACTAAACACAAGTTAAAAACAGCTGTCTAGTCTGATTCTATGGCACTGAAAGATATCCCATGATTTCCACTGAATTTTAAGCATTATTTTTAGTTTGCTATATTTTTCTGCATCATTCTTCCTAGTTGTAAATTCATCCTTGAGTACAGAAATGATGGAGCATCAAAAATTGGAGTTCACCCATAGTTGTTAATGTCTAGTCCTTGATTTATGCTAATTTTCCTTCTGGTTGTGAGCAACAGTGGCAAAATCCAAAACCTTTTTGAAGAAGTCGTTGAATTTCTCTGTGATAGCTAATTTGATTTGTTTGAGGAACTAACTCAATATATTTAGCATATCCAGAACTGTTGTTCTTAGCCTCATATTTTGTATGTGTCTGCTTCTACCTCTATTTCTTTAATTAAAACTTATTTCACTGAAATATTTTCTTTGGCTTGATTCTTAATTTTCTTAGGAATGCTGTGTATCCTTTTGAGGTGCACCTAAAATTGTAATGCGATGAACAATCTTTATTTGTCACTTTGAAATATCATGTTTGAGTCCCTTCCTCTCAAGTTTTACCTTTGTTTTATATCCAAGCAATTTGAGAATGTCCTTTTTGAGTTGGTTTCTTTGGCCTATTATGAACCTTTCGATTAAAGTTTTTCAACTTTTTATTCATTTACTGGCTTGTACACTTTTTGATTTTGCTGAAAGACATTCCTCACTCTAATTAGTGTCTTTACTACGATCTCAAAAGTCTCAATTGGGACAAACAAAACTACTGAGTCTTGAAAAGTGCACAAACTCTTTGCTATTACCAAAAGTATAGTCTTTGCGGCATCTGTCATATTATCTGGAATAAATACCTGCAATGGTTTAACCTTCTTCCTTTATTTGTATTTTAATCATTCAGGTGAGTATGATAGAAACAAATTGATATTTGTTTGGGTTTATCTGTTTAAATTGTGGTTCCTATAGTGAACATCATATTTTTTGTTTCTCTGATGGCTATAATGCATTAAGCTTGCACTACAGTAAATTAGTTATTGAATGCAATAATTTGGTGCATCTTTGCATGCACTGCAGTAAATTAGTGAGGGGCGTGCTTTTTGGAACTGTTAATATTTAACAGTTGGAGATTCAGCTTAATTTTGGCAAACCAGAAACTGAGGGGGAGCTGTAGGTCTTAGAGGTATCAATTAATCATAGAGGGCCCCTGCAGTTGACGTTATTTTCACAAGCATTTTGTTATGCGAAAAAAAAAAAATTTGTATTTGATATGTTACATCGGTTAATTATGTCTATTATAATGATTTAGAAGTATCAACTCACATGGATATATTATTAAAACCTGATATTCAAGTACACTTCCCCCCTTTGCTAGACCTTTCTATTGTTGCTGGGATTCTACAGGCTGTCAATCTTGTGCTTTTGCTTTGCTATTTTACTGGCAACACTAACCGTATAGTGCTGCCAAATCTTGGCAAAAAGTTTTTGATTTTTTCATAAACTCGGTTCAATTTATCGTCTTAATGTCTTCATCAGACTTTTATCTCACCATTGTTTTATTCAAGTGCAATCATTCTTTTTTGTCAATTAATTTTTGTTATGGTTTTGCATTTTTTTGGATTGCTGTGCTTTGATGTAAATATAATTATAGTAGTTTAGAAAATATAATTGTTTTAAACTGTCAATGTTAGATTGGAGGCCTCTGAAGCACTTGGTTTGTCCATCTCATTTACATGAACACTAGTTACTTTTCTACAAACTCCATGATATCCATGGACTTCAACATGTTTGTTTTATCAACAGGTTGATCTAGATGTGTGGATTCGCAAGTTCATGTTGAATGTACCTCTTTTATACAATTTCTTTGTGTATGCATATAAAAATGGCATAAATATTACACACAAGCAAACAGACAGCTTGGCCTTTGTTAATTTTCTAGTGTGTTGTTTAGCAATACATCTTCATTAATTTTTTCTTTTAGTAAATATTATTGTGAGTCTTTGATGTGTTGTGACTTGGGAATCAAATGGAGATTCTCCTACATATTATAGCAACATGGATTATAATTTGGATCATTGTGGCTGATGACTGGTCTGGATTGGTGTCTCTAGGTTCTACAAATTTTCTACCAGACTACCCTTGCAGCAGTCAAACTTTGTTACAATGTTAAATTCAGTGTCTGCCATTTCTTTTACTCAATATTGATTAGAAAGCTTATGCAAAGTATGAATCAAGAGTTATGCTTATGCATAAGTGTGCACTGATGTCAGTGCTATTGGGATTTTTGTTCTCCTACCCAATGTAATTTCTAGGATAAGTAGGGTCTTACATCTTATGCATGAAATAGGTGCTATTTGCGAGTAATTTTTAGGATAAGTGGTTATTATGTGGTCTTTGAGGAACATCTGTCAAAATCCATGCGTACCTCTTACCTTTATGTGATTGTTTCAATTCAATGAAGCATCTTTTTCTAACAAGACCTTGGTGGGATGCCTGCAGTATTTGATGGGGGTTAGTCTAAAGGTCAGGCAAATTTGGAGGCAAGCAAACTGCATTTTGAGGCAATTGTGCGTGAAAATTCCATTTCTTGAGGCAAATCTCTAAAAGGGGATGATTTTCTTTAGAGAGCCTTTGGAAAATAAAAGAATCATTCGGATTTTTATTGTTATCTTATAGGGTTTAACCTTTTCATTTCGGATTGTGTGATTTTGCATTTTCTTAATTATTTTCCCATTACTTCTAATATGAAAATCTGGTAATTGTTTAGATCTTAACAAAGGAAAGGTTGTTTCAAGTTCTGATGAAAAGATAGATACTTTGACAGCCAGTTGGTTATGATGCACATTCATCTGTATAGAATTGGGTGGTGTGTAAATGTCCCTTAAATGGAGATGTTATGCGGTGTGCCTTTGCTTTTTGTGGTTGCTAAAACTGAAAATGCCTTTGCTATTAATTTTTCACCAGACTCATAAGATATTTTTAGTTTCAGCCTGGTGAAAAAGCCTTTTTCTTCTTGGTTTTCCCAATGTTGTGGCGTATATCCTATATGGAAGGGAAGCAATAGTTTGTATTTTGATGATGAATAACTGCTGCTTACAATCACTGCCAATTTATTTTCAATTATTTTAAAGGTTACATATATATATATATTCTAAAGTTCTGATCAAGGTAAACCCTGCCTGATGTTTGATCAAATGGAACTTTTTGGTGTCTGATATTAGTGCATCTTGGATTGTTTTTGTTGACCAATTTTACTACTATGCAAACTTCTTTCTAATCAGTTGGTCTTCATCTTTAGTTGATGATAGAATAGCCAGGTTTTTAGTTCAAGATATGGGTATAACTTGTCTTGTTTTTTTTAAATTTTAGGGAGAAATCGGAGTATTTGATATGTCAATAATATGCCCACTTAATGGGTTCTACAATAATTCTGAGAATTTGTAATATCAGGCTCTTCAGTTCAATGACTTTCTTTGTATGATTTTCAGGAGAAGAACCGAGAGAAGAAGCAAAAGAAGGAGAAGAAAAACAGGGAAAAGAAAGAAGGTAAAGATAGAGAAAAAAAGGAGAAAGACAGAAGTGATGGAAAGCATCGGGATAAGAAAGAGAAAAAGGAAAAGCAGAGAGACAAAAAGGAGGATAGGGATACAGATAAAGACAAAATTATTGCGTCAAATGAGAAGAGACTTCCAGGTCAATCTGAGAGTAATAATGGAGATAAAGTTTCAGATGAGAAGAGACTTCCCGCGAAATTTGAAATTAATAGTGGAGAGATATTCATCCAAAAAGGTAATGGAAGGGACTTGGGTAGAAGCAGTATCTCAGGTGAGAAGAAATTTGCTGGACAATTTTCGGGTTACAATGAGAGGGTATCTCAGAATGCCCGTCCCAGTGTGCAACCAAAGGAGTTGAAATTTGTGCAGGAGGTGGATAAGCGGATCAGAGATGAAGCCAAAGGAACTGGGAAGCAGATGGTGGAGAAGTTCACTGGCGCAGATGCAAGAAAGGATGAGGGAATGTTCAGGTTGGTGGCCAAGGCTACTGGTACTTCAGTGGATGTCAAGGAAAAGAACAAGATAGGTGATGATAGAAAATTGGGTGCGCAAGGAATAAGGGAAGTGTCAAGGTTTACTGGGAATGCTATGGCTCAGAGTCTTCCCGGAATGGTTCAACCTAGAATCGATAAAACACCAAGATCACTGGAGAATGATGTTGAGAAGAGGGTTGAAGGGAAAGAAAAGAGCAGACAGAAGGAAGGTGATGATAGGCATGGGGATAAACGGAGGGATAAAATTAAGGAGAAAGATGGCCTAGGGAAGGACAAAAACAGGGACAAAGAAAGGAAAAAGGAGGAGAAATTAAAGGGGAAAAGTGAATATAAGAACATGGGGCCAGATAAGTTGAAAGAGAGCAACAAGGATGGCCCTACAGGTATCCATAATGCAAAAACCTCTCATCTGCCCAGGGAGAGCAGTGCTGTCACTGAAGGAAATCTAAAGAAACGGAAAGACTTGGACACAAATGGATTCATTAGTGGTGAGTCATTTAAAATGACAAGCATTTCCCCTCCCCAATTTCCGATTTCCCTCCCTTTTGTTGGTATATTTTGGTAGGTTTGACATCATATTCTATGAAGTCTGATGTAACTGTTTTTTCTTTAGTTTTTTGAAAGAAAGATGGAGTTCACCAGCAGTATTTCACAATGATTAATCTGTTCTATCTTTACTACTACTCAAGCACTATGCCTTCCTGTTAATTGACAACTGCTGCTTCATTTTATTACTGTTGCAGCTAATGACATTAGACCCAATAAGGTGTCAAGACTTACTCCCTCTCATCCATCAACAGAAAATGGAAGGATTTCGGGAACTTTGCAAACTTCCAGTCCGTTGATATCTGGTAGACAGGGGCCTCTCAATAATCTCAAGGCAGATGCTAAGGAACTAAAAAAAAATGGTATAATTGAACCTCAGGCATTATCTGTCTCAACAACTCAGCCACTGCCCCTTTCTACAACAAAGTCTTTGCCCACAACCACACAGGCTGATAAAAAAGCTGAACCGCCGAAAAGACCACCTCATCCTGATTTGAAGTATCTAAGTCAAGTTCTTACGGTGCCCAAAATGGAAGAATGGTCTGATTTTGATGACCAAGAATGGCTTTTCCTAGGAAGTGATTCTCAATTAAAGAAGCCCAAGTTGGGTTCTTTAAGAGTTGATGAGACACCGCAGGTGTGGTCAGAAGCTCTGCAGATAGATTCAGTAGACGTCTGCGCTTTGCCATACGTGATTCCTTACTAATTGGTTGTGATGTTGGCCTTGGTTAACCATCTTGCTTCATCTGATGTGGTGGACGATCCAACGGACCACAAATGGGGTTTAGAAATAGAAGCATTTGGCCCTTGTATCAATTATTTGATTCTGATGCTGCATTCTAGATTACTGCCGTCCAGTGTACATTCTTCCCATTGCCAATTTTGGAACAGTGCTGAATGGAAATAACCTATATAACGCAGTATTGCATGCTCCGGCACATCCCATGAAAAGCTGTGATTGGAGGGGCAGGATTTTAACAATGCATATGGTACCACTAATTCATTCAAAATGGAGAATTTCATAAAGGCAACTAGAGTGGGGTTGCTTGGAAAAGGGTGAGTATAAGCTTGTGCAATTTTTATTTTATTTGCTTAAAGCTAAGCTCTTTCTAATTGAGAATGTAAGAGAAACTAGCTGTGGTCTCTGCAACTCCACCACAATTTTGTTTTGTAACATAGAGCTCTTATTTACAAGAAATGTAAGATAGAGGGAAAAGAAAAGTAGTAGCATTCATTTATTCACCTCTTCTGTAACTGTTACTTGTTCATATCTTTTCTTGTTTCTTGTTACCACTTTGTGTTGTGTATAGACATGTGATCTCTGTTTAGTTATTTCTCTCTCGACTTGTTTTTATCTCCTTGTTGCGTTTGATGAGCCTCCTGTTCATGTTGGCCTTTTTGTCATCTTTATTAGCTTCATCATGCACTTGAATCAAAATTTGAACTGAACAGAATTGATTTATTTTTTTTTTTTTTTTTTTTTTTTTTTTTTTTTTTTTTATTTGGTTCTTCGAGTTAATTGGTTCTGTCCCTGAAAATTGGTAGCTCAACTTTCGTTGTCTAGACTCTAGAGAGCTTTCAAGTATAGTTTTTATTTGCTATTCATTTAACATACTACGTTGAAACAATAAAGTCCATATAGCCAAGGCCTCATTGGACTTAAGAAAACAAATTAAGATGTTAGCTTTCTTTCTTATTCATAATTAATGTTAATAATAGACTAATACTAATAATTTATAGAGAATCTATTTCACTCGTCTAATTTTAATTTTAGTTTGAAGTTATTGCCGATCACCATCATTGAGTGAATAGAATATCTCGGGTACTACTATTAAACCCGTTTAATATAGCAAACAATGAATATCTAAAGACTTGTTATCCAAAGACCTATATTGATAAACCTTATATCCTTATATGCTACATATAGCAATTATATTAGTTGTATCTGTTTTAAATTTTTATATAACTATTTATATTCTCTTTAAACGAATCTATGTGAGTTGAATATTTTATATTTATTTTTAAATAAATCAAGGTGAGGTGAATACTTAAAATATCTTCCATTCTAGGTGTCAAGCTCAACTACTTTCTTCTAACATTAATGTGTCTTTGACTTTTGAATAAAAAAAAAGTAAAATTGAAGTTAAATTGTTGTGTTTGGATGAGGCTTTAACTCTTAACATAAGGGGAGAATGATGAGCGGTTAGCCGGTTACGCGCAAGTGACAAGTCGGTGGGCTATGGTCCCTCTAGTCTCTAGAGCCATTCCCACGAAGGATGAGAGAATATTTCAGATGCGTCTACTCATCCTTGAATGTGTTAGCATTTTCTGTTTATACACTTAATTGCAGACAAAAAAAAGGAATATATGCTAATTCGGACATTGAATTTATTTAAAATGATTGAAATAGGTTAGGTTAGATATTTTAGGCTAATGCAATCCCATGGTAGATACCTGCATTAAAATTTTCAAATATATCTTCTTTTTTTTAAATGAAGGTGATTTAATAATTGTTTTAATCCTTATGAAAAAAAAAAAAAACGGTGCAACTTATCTGAACGAATTAATTATTTACTTAGGCTCAGTTTATTTCTGTAAAATAATTTATAAAAAATATTTTTCATAATTTTTTGTTATTTGGGGCGTTCAAAAAAATAAGTCAATGCAAAATATTTTTTTGGTCAAAAGAAAATCAAATAATGTTTTAAGGAAAATAATTTTTTATTTTCGAGAGAGTAAAACATTTTCTGAATATTGATAAAATATTTTTCAACAAGTCATTTTCCTGCAAGTTATTTTACGGAAACAAACGGAGCATTAGTTGAGCGAACTGAAAGTTCAAAGAAACACATTTTTAAGATATTAAGAGAGATAATATGAAAACAAACAACACCAAAGTAAATGATTATTGTTAAATTATTCACACAGATTAAGAAAATAGTAATTATTATGGTTAACAGACAATTTTATTTGTATAACTTCCCTATTATGCTCATCTTAACATGAAAACGATTATTATATTGGAATAATAAATAAAAATTAATGAGAGTTATTGAAAATAAGATAAAATTTAATAAGAATATAATAGACAATTTAATATTTGTAATGCAAAAAAGAAAAGTGAACTAATTTTTTTTTTTTAAAAAAAAAAAGATGAATTATTTTTTTGAGACGAATGAAATATTTTATAGGATAATATTTTAAAAAGTTATGGAGTAAGAGGTGGTGGAGCCACCCTAAGCCGCCGCGGCATCCTCCCTAGCCTCTAAAACGTATTGACAAATAGTGGAATTAGTAAATATGGGAGTCAGGATGGTGGTAGACATAATAATACTCCGTACTATCTTAGAATGATCCAGTTGGTCGTGGTATTGGTACTTATTGATTATCCTTCAAACTTGAAATTTGGCCTTCCTTTATTAATGGAGTTGGCTCCACTTGGTGTGTGTATTTATAGTAGTTATGGACGTGTTGTGGGGAATTTCGATATTTAATTAAAAATACGAAAAGAATTTAAGTTTTATGGATAGAATATATATATACTCAGATCCGCTTATTTTTTGATAGACCAATTTGGTGCGAGTAAGATTTTTCTAACCTACTGGATTGGAGATACTTATATGATTGGCACCCAAAATAAATGCTTATATGTTAGTATAGCAAGAAAAAAAAATCATCAATAGCTATTCCCTCTATTTTACTAAATTTTACCATTTTTATCTTTATGCAAAGATTAAACAAACCATTAAATCACTTCAATTTAGAAAAATTGATGAAATGACCATTTAATTAATATTCATATACTTGGAACAAAGTTTAATGGAGATACCTAGATAAGAATAAAATTAGAAGACAATAATTAATACTACCGTGATTTTCCAAAAGTATCATCTAAATGAAATAAGAAAAATATTAAGGGCTATCAAATAATAGAAAGAAGAGAGCATGAAATCACCGGTATCTCAAAACACACTATGCTTTAATATCCGACTCGAATATTACAATGTTTATATAGAATACGACTCTTTCAATGTGACGATTTTCATATCTATAATTCAAATTCATAATTTTTAGTTAAAACTTAAAAGAAAAAAAAATATCAACGAGTCATTCTCAGTTAAGCGTCGATTTTAATAAAATTTTTCTATCCAATAAAAATTTCAATCCAATCGGTAGCTGGAAAACTATAGAAGTCTACTATCTGATTTTTATCAACCACATTTATTAATCAACGGAAAAGTCAGACCCAACCTATTTTTTGACGTGAATAAACTAAATTGAAAAAGATCCTTAGTTGTCTGAAAAGACTTGACCATACGACCATACACATACCTAGTTAACTAACTAGAAACTTCAATTCAAAAATTATAGCATCCAACTGTGCAACTGTACGCACCACTGGGAATATCACACGTCACTCCTTCCATTAAATCCCTTCACCTATCACTCTTTCTATTGCATGTATATCTATATATATACACACTTGTACTGTACCCGTTCACACACACAAGCACAAACTCTACCCTTTTCCGTTTTCCTCATATCTCCTCTTCCCCATGGTTTCTTCCAATGCTCAAACCCTAGTGTATAATCTGAAGATTTCATCTGTTGGGCCGGGTTGGGCTACGGATTCAGAGGCGGTCCATGAGCCCAATTCTATAGACTTGGCTATGAAGCTTCACTATCTAAAAAGTGTTTACTTCTTTTGTAGTGAAGCATGTCAAGGGCTCACCATTTCTTGTTTAAAGGAATCCATGTTTTACTGGCTCAATGATTATTACATCACTTGTGGTCGGTTCCGGAGAAACGACGCCGGCCGGCCTTACTTGAAGTGTAATGATTGTGGCATTAGGATGATTGAGGCGGAGTGCGACACGTCGCTTGATGAATGGCTAGAATTGAAGGATTCTTCACTTAATGATATGCTTGTTTACCATCTACCTATTGGCCCCGAATTATCTTTTTCTCCTCCAGTTTATTTCCAGGTAATTTTTTTTTTTGTCATCTCATGCTAACAAAATTTGAATTTATCTTATAGTAATTTCAGTTTTTTTTTAGATTTTTTTTGGGTTTAAAAATAAAAGATGTTTACGTATATTCTAATTAAAAAAAAAAACTCAAAGTGACAAGACAAATTTAAATTTGACGAATCGTTTAAGATTAGAAATTCGATCTATAAAATAAAAATACTTATATAAAATAAAAAATACTTATGAAAAAGATAATTACAAACCTTGGAATGATTCCAGTGGTAAAAAGAAACTAATTGAGATTAATTAGATAATTACAAACCTTGGAATGATTCCAGTGGTAAAAAGAAACTAATTGAGATTAATTAGATAATTACAAACCTTGGAATGATTCCAGTGGTAAAAAGAAACTAATTGAGATTAATTAGATAATTACAAACCTTGGAATGATTCCAGTGGTAAAAAGAAACTAATTGAGATTAATTAGATATTAATTAGATAATTACAAACCTTGGAATGATTCCAGTGGTAAAAAGAAACTAATTGAGATTAATTAGATAATTACAAACCTTGGAATGATTCCAGTGGTAAAAAGAAACTAATTGAGATTAATTAGATAGCTAGTGAACCCATGTTTCAGAACTTAGTAGAATGCAACCAAATATAATTAAATATATTTATAATAAAAGAATATTTGACTATATTATATCACAAATTATTTAATGGAAGTCTTGTCACCTTAATTTGGGGGCAAGTACACTAACTAGTTACGTACAAGGTTTGCCTTAGAAAGTACTAGGTTTCAGAAAATAATACCTGATGCAGTAGCGGGGCCCTGTCCCTCCTGTTGTTAATGATCTTAGTCTATAAAATTCTGATTATTATTATTTTAATTATTATATTCTGAAAATCAAATTAAATATTATAAACAAACGTAATTGGATTAACTGCATGGAAAAAAAAATTTTGAAACAAAGTAATTTTTTTATTAATATTAATGGTTTTAATTTGATCCTATTGTATTTATTCCTACATGGTATTGAAAAATGAATTGAACTGATCTGGTCTAGCTTTTCGATTTGGTTATTTGGTTTAATAAATTTATTTTAATTTATAATTTTAATAATTTAAGTTTTCAATTTTTCGTTTGGTATGGAAAAATAAGCCTAAACTTTTCTAAAAACCGAAAAATAAAATTGATTTCGTTTGATTTCAGAAAAAAAATTATACTTTGGTTTTTAGTTTATTAATTTGATTTAGTTTGTATTTGAAAATTATTTTTTTAAAAAAAATTAGAAAAAAAAAATACTAAAATCATAAGAGAAAGAGACCTAACTTGGTAAAAACTGGAATTCCTTTGTTTTGCAGGCAACTAAGTTCAAATGTGGAGGATTGTCTTTCGGTCTGAGCTGGGCCCATATACTTGGAGATCCATTTTCTGCATCTTATTATATGAACATGTTGAGCCCATTCCTTGCTGGTGTTAGGTCCAATAGGCCCGTGAAAGTCACAAAACAACCCAAAACTCTTGGAAAGTCCGAAAACATAAAAGCACCTCCTCTTTCGCTGAAGCGGGTCGACCCGGTTGGTGACCATTGGGTAACTGCCAATAACTGTAAAATGCAAACATTTTCACTCTATTTAACTGCTTCACAAGTATCTCACCTTCTTTCCAATATGTGGGGTCAAAGTCCAAATAAAGAAACTCCATTGTTTGAATCCCTTTGTGCCATAATATGGCAATGTATTGCCAAAGTTAGGGAAGGCCATGACCCCAAAATAGTGACTATTTGCAAAAAGGACCCTACTAATCCTGAAAATGAGATTTTGAGCAACAATCAAATTATAAGTTCCGCTAAGGCAGATTTTTCCATCATAGATTCAAATTTGAAAAAATTGGCAATGTTGCTTGTTGATGGAGCAATTGATGAGAGAGATCAAATTGATGAAACGGTGGAAAATAATGATGGATCGCTCGATTATATAGTATATGGAGCGAATTTGACATTTATAAATTTGGAAAATGCTAATTCGTATGAATTAGAACTGAATGGATTCAAACCGAAATTTGTATACCATACTATTCAAGGTGTTGGAGATGAAGGCGCTGTTTTATTATTTCCGTGGCCAGAATATTGCGACAAGTATGACGATAAAGGTAGAGTTGTCACGATAATTTCGCCGGAGAAAGAAGTAATAAAGCTTAAGTCTGAGCTAAAAAAGATTGGTTTAATACTTGAAAGTGATATAGAGTGAATGTATATCTTCTGCGTTTATTATGGTTATATGATTGTATGTTCAATCTCTATTTGTTTCTATTTTCTTTAATAAAAGTTAAATGTATTCAATAATTTTTTTTTATTTCTCCATACAAAAATATTAAGAAAAGATATAATCTATAAAGAAAATTTTAATTAACAAACCAACCAACCTAACAAATACATAGGTCTAATACTATAATTCTAAACCAAGGCTCTATAAATGGGCTTGATCCAGCCCACAAAATGAGCAGGATTGGATATATTTGTATTTTTCAATGTAAAAAATTAATCAAAATCAATTTTATTAAATAATGATATATTATGTTTTTTGAAGTGCAAAATGGGAGCGGAAACTAGTCAAGAACACAGCTACAACCAAACATAAAACTATTAATTTCTCTATACACATAGTCTCGATATGATCCCACAAAATTGTATTGTATCCCATGATCTTAGAAATCCATGATTACAGAGAATATTCTGTAATTATAGAGAATTATTTGTTACCCAAAGTAGCTAGTTGGCTAATGCATGCATATATACTGCTATTGGTGCAAGAATAAATTATCGAAAAATATTTTACCGAAAGATTATTTCTTTCTTGAATTATTAATTTGTCAATTCACGTAAATAAAAATTTCACCTTCCAACTAGAATATCGGTATTATAGATATTACGTTTTAATGAAGTTGGATTGACAAACTCAAATACTCAACCTACTATTCACAAATTGATGATAGCAAATATGATAATGAGAAACTTAAAAGTCTCCTTTGCATAGCCTCAATTGCTTACTTTGTCTAGCTCTAATCTTCATTTAAGTTTTGAATATAAGAAGGGATAGAAAGTCTTCCAATTGAAAACCTCAAAAGTCTATTTATGTTTTGAAAAATCAATTTCATATAAACATCAAATTTTAATTTTAAAATTTAATATATTTAATAATATTTTATGTCGATATTTACATATTAATAATTATTTTATATGCTAAAAATTTATTTTATGTTTAATTAACTTTTATTCATTATAAATCTTATAAGATATAAAGAAAAGTTAATTATTTTCTTGACAAATGGATTTCAATTCAGTTTTATGAAGTTGGATCCACGTCTCATGCTATTATATCTTGTCAATAACAAATTGGTTGTCGTATTTTTTTAATTTTACCCGTGGCTATGACTTATTATTACTCTATCCGTCCCAAAAAGATAATTCATCTTTTGTTTTTGATTTATCTCGAAATATAGTCTAATTTTTTTTATTTGCATTATAATTAATCATTAAATCGTTTATTATACTCTTAGTTATTATTCTAATGTAATAATTACTCGTATATTATTTAAGATGAGTATAATAGGAAAGTTATATGAATAAAATTGTACTTTAATCATATTTTTTAATCCGTGTGAAAATAGAAAGTGACCTATCTTTTCATAATAATAATATTTTTCAAAAAAAAAATTTCATTAAATTTGTACTACTTATATTAAGTTGGATGAAATAATTCAAAATGAAAAAAAAAATTAAATTTATGACTAAATATAATAGTATTTGCGATTAAACATAATTCATTGAAAAAAAAAAAAACGCGGAGAATTGTAATTTTAAATGTTTTAATAATATTTTCCTATCAAAATCCTCTTCTCTTTTCCTTTTTCTTCCCTTGGTTTAGTGGTCGTATATTTGATGACTACCACTACCTAACTTAATAGGAAGTCTTTTGGTAGGTAATTTGGTTACGAAAATACCTTAATTTGAAATTGAATATGATGTTGATGTTTCAGTAAAATTTATAATTATCACATTTAATTAATTTTAGCATTGACGTGTATGCCCATATATAATTATTTATTTTTCCTTATAATTTCTATTTCTATCGCGTTCTTATCACTTCAACATATATATCGATAAAACTTAAATTAATTCTATTTTGAGATTAGACAATGCAAAAATCAGTTGATTTATGCAACTCAATCGTGTCTCCAAAAGCCACCCTATGTCTCAATCATATGTATCAACACTCCATATCTCTATAATTGATTGATTTTGAGGGGTTTTTATCCTCATCTTCCAAATAATTGAAGATGGAATTTATATGTATTTAAATAATTTCTTTTATGTAATTTAGAGAACTTTTAGTCCAGCTAATTTATACAATTAATAACTGATTTACGGTCAATAATTCAACTAACTATATATGGTACGAATTTTAATCAACAGTTAGTAGCTGGTTGAAGTTTCGATTAAATGTTGATCTTATCGACTGGAATTTCAAATTTATTATTAATTTTTTCTTATAAAAAACCTTGCACTTATGACTTATCACACTTATGCATAATGGCAAAACATCCTACCACACTTTTATTTATTACTTAGATTAATATTCAAAATATATCTACAAATACAAATTAAATCTACTGATTATTTTTTAAAAAAATTTATTAAATCAGATAAATCATATTTTCTTTCTTCTCTCTTAATTTCACTGACAATCCTCCACACAAATCACCATAAATTACAAATAGTATAATGTATATTAAATTACAGTAAAATATAATATTGGTCCCACCAAAACCTTAATCATGATTAATTTTTGTAAATTAGGCATAGAGACATACAAAAAAAGGCCTATTTGGTGCGATGCACAATGAAATTGCCACCAAGACCTCCACTATAAATCATGCTTCTAGAAACATAATGATGCTGTCCAAAGCAAAAAGTCATTTTTAAATCTTTTATTTAATAAAAATAGCAGCCTCAAATCTTTATTTTTTTGGCAACTAATATTTATTTTCTTTTATTTATTTATTTTTACTTCAAATTAAAAATACCTGATTTGGGATCAAATGGAAAAAGATAAAACAAGCACATAAAGGCAGAAAGCTTTTCTAGTCATAACTCTAATTATGCTTTCACTGTTATTTTATTTTACACGTGAAGAATTCGGCCAACTATAAAACAGTAAAAGAGAACAAATTATGTGGACCACCGAACCAGTATCTAGACTCTATTATCACATTTCGGGATTTAAAAATCAAAATTAAGGCTCATGCTCCTCTTTGAAATTGTGTTTAATGGGAATCTAATTTGAGAATTATTCAATATGTTTAGTCTGCGCTGTCAACTGAGCCACAATCGCATTAAAATATAGTGATATAATATAAAAATAAATGAGTGAAATTCATCCTATTATAATTTTCAAATATTTATTATTAAATATGAATAAATTAAATTTTAGGGCTATTTATTTAAAAAAATATTAGGGCTAAATCGTTAGATTGATAAATAACAATCTACATTATTAAATTTGCAAGTTAAAGAATCTAATTGAAATAACTTTTAATATAAACTAATTTGAAATTTTTGAGAGTTTGAAAAAATAATTCTCTCTATTCTCAAATACTTGTAACATTTGTAGATTTAATAAATAATAAATTATTTTTTTCATTTTTACTCTTTGTAAATAATCAACAGTGATGGTTCGGTTCTTCAAAAATTTTTTTCTCTCTATTACCACCTCTTTGTGTTCTCAAAATCTAAATTGGTTGATTTTTTAAAATTCCTAGTTCCAAGTTACAGTAATTAAAAATTTTGTTGAATTATTTATGTAATTAATGAAAAATTGAATTTGAATATTGTAAATTAAAGATAGTATATTCAGTTTACTTGTAACTCAATGGTTTTATTAAATAAGCGGTGATGGTTGCAAGTTTCAAATTTCGGAACAGAAATAATATATATTTAAATTTGTTATATTGTGCAGAGCGACAATCTCTCTCTCTCTCTCTCCGTCAATGCGCTGGGTCCATCGGCGTAAACAGCGAATGGACAATAATAATGGAGGCTGAATCGGCGGACAGCACCAAAAGACACAAGGATAAGTCCTTGCAATATTCAAGATCCAGACCACAAAGTAAAGAGCAATAGCTGTGTCTGTGTGGTGGGGCTTTTTGAGAGATACAGATACACCAATTTTTCACTTGCAAACAAGAATGGACCTTTAAATAATCTTATTCCACATTTTTATTTTTTCTTCGTTTCCTTTAATCACTTGGTTATAATAGCTACAAGGAAAAATTCCAAACGATTCTGACAAAATGGGGAATGTGACATCCAATTCCAAGCATTTTAGAAAAATCAAACCATCTTTCAACAAAATCAAGACTGTTTTAACATATCTTTCCTGCCATGTCTAACACGCAAGCTCTAAAGTATAAACCATCGCATGAAGTTTCACAACCAATCTTTCCGTTCCTGCATGCCTTTGATCTGGATTCTCAAAAACACATGGAAAGATGGAAAAAAGCACTTCAAAAGGAGAACAGAATTGAAAGGAAGATGCTTGAAATGGAGCGTGTTTGTGTGCTTTCACATGCTCGCATGTGTATATCAACCATTAAATTCACCTCGAGCAACAATGGAAAAAAAAAAAAAAAAAGATATTAATTATCATTCTAGAAAATATGTACATAAAATGCTTGCAACTTGCAAGTATCATTAACATGGCCGCAAAAGAACTATACAAGTTTTCTGATTTCCGGATTCTGATATCTATCTGGTTTTGCATACAAATATATAATTTCCATGTTCTGCATTGCTTAACTAGACAGTATCTCCATAGATCTCAGTGCAACAACCATGCGAACAATAGCAAGGCTTGTATATACATCATAAGAGAGCAAGAAACTAATTTAAATTTCTTTCGATGATTGTTCTCGCTGTCTGCGCATTCGAGCTGCCCATGACATGTTCCCTTCTGCATCCTTATTCATGCTTCTTCTCTTCAACTCAGATAACTGTGACTCCCAGCGATTTTTCCACTCAGCTGTGACTTCCAGTTCCTGATAGAAAAGAGAATCCAAATTAATATAAAATGATAAAAAAAATTAATATAATGTAAACCCAGTATTAAAGAAACAACTTCTTTCAATACAAGTAAACAGAAAAGTGACTTCCTGTAAAAGATTTGGTGAATTTCTTCATCTACTACAATGGCAAGGGCTCACCTCATATATTAGATAACTACAAATGAAAGAGTTGAATTTTTTTTTTTTAATTAACAAAAATTCCATGGATGTTCAGAAAAAGTTCTTCACGGCAATAAATTTAAGAAAGCAGAGACTGAATTATCAGACTTAACTAATTGGCAGACAACAAAATAGAAATTCTAGCGCAAACTGACAATTTAGTCTATAAAAAAACACATAAAGATTGAAACTTTCAGTCTTTCTTCTTTGGAAAACTTTCTCATCAAACGTCATACCTTCGGTTTATAACACTGGGATCAAGGTTCTATATAAACCCAAAATCAACTATTAAATAAACAATAGAACTGTCTATTTACCCATCCAAGTCAATTATCCATATTTAACAAAAGAAAAACTACATGCACTCAGGTTGAAACATGGCAAGTCCACGGCAAAGACCTCAAAAAGAGTGCATTGATTTTGTCGAGAACTGCATAAAATTATCCATGAGAATAAGAAATAATAAAAAGGAACAGAAAACCCAAAACCAAATCACGAAATGAACAATAACCCCCTTAACCAGATAAAAAAATATCATTCAATCAATATACACATCACCAAATCCTTAAGAAAAACTTCAACTTTCTCCATTATCCACAGATAAATGAAACAAACTTGCATCAAAACCCAAAAACCTAAATCAAATTAAAGCATAAATTTGAATTGAAGCCAATACCTCGTCGTTTTGGTACCGTCTCCTAGCGGAAAACGCGAGGTGAATACCTCGAGCCATGTCACGGTCATAAAGAGCTCTTCTTCTAGGATCCGATAGAGTCTCATAGGCCTCTTGAACCTGAATAAATCTCTGAGTATACTCCTCGACACGATCCGGGGGCGAAACGTCAGGATGGTACTTCCTTGCTAGTTGCTTGTACGCCTGTTTTATATCGAGCAAAGTCCCTGATTCAGGAATACCCAATAGCTCATAGAAACTCATATCGATGGTGGTGGCGATCCTTTCTTGCACAGCAGCTTTTGTTTTGAAGGACGCGCTTGAGAAATGCGAAACGGGCTTGAAACGGAGAATTGGGTTAGGCTTAGACGTCAAGGTGGTAGGAGTGGTGGCGATTGTGGTGGAGAGGTGGAAGCGAGAGGCCTCGCTTCCTGGAATCGTTAAACCATAAGGACGCATCACTGTACGTATATTTCCAGTGGGTTTCTAAAAAAAGCTTCTCGTTTTGATTTCGCGGATTTGGTTTAAATTTCGGTTTCGGTGTTGTTGTTGGAGACAGGAAGAAGATTAGGAAAGGCGGAGATGAAGAGGAGCACACGGTTAGCGGTAGAGATATTTATAATCCTATTGTTATAAGCCACGTGTCAACCTTGAAAATAGTTTGCTCTTAATTATGGTTTTTTTTAAATTCTTAATCTCTATTTTCTTAAAGAAAATTCACATAGTTTATCATGTAATTTGTTTATATTAAATTTTTTATCTAAATATCTAAGTATATTTTATTTATTATTTTTTTTTTTTAAAAATTCCATTTTTTTTTTTTTTTTAGCGGAGAGATTTTATAATCCTATTGTTATAAGCCACGTGTCAACCTTGAAAATAGTTTTGCCTCTTAATTATGGTTTTTTTTAAATTCTTAATCTCTATCTTAAGAAAATTCACATAGTTTATCATGTCAATTTGTTTATATTAAATTTCTTTATCTAAATATCTAAGTATACTTTTATTATTATTTTTTTTTTAAAAAATTCCATTTTTTTTTTTTTTCTTTTTGAGGAGAAGATATTTTTTTTTTTTTTTTTTGAGGAGAAGATATATGTTATAATAGGTATAGCTTTTTATGATGAAGAGATTTCAGACTTCAAAACATTTCACTCTCTACGCCTCCTACAAAATATGAAAAGACTAACTAAACTACGCATGATTGACTTTTAATTTCTTTTTAGTTGACATTTTATGATGTAATATATTAATTTAATTATTTATACTAAATTCTTTACCTAAATTTCTAAATATAACAAAAGTGATTAATACCAAAGTTTGTTTTAATTAATAATTCCCTTGACCTAATTAAGACAAAGACTCCATAACTATAGTATAGTTTATTAATTTATGAAGACTTGGTAACTTACCTTGGATCCTAAAGGTCTCCGCGATCTACCGTTTTTAAAGTTGGCATGTTGTCTATATCAAGTATTGAATTTGAAACTAAAGTTTACTCTAAAATAATTTATTATCCAATAATTAGATAATTCTTAATTATTAATTTTTTCTAATAGCTTCTAAGTTAAAGTTAGGAATCTCGTGTGGCTAGGAAAAAAAAAAAAAACGTTTTTTGTGATATGAGCTTGACTGGATATTAAACTATTTTGGAAAAATGAAGTGGTGTAATTTAATAATGATCCAATAAAATATTTATATATAGAGATTATATCTATTATGATTAAATATAAATTATTAAATTAATATCCTTCCGTTCCATATATATAGGCCTAGTTGGACTTTCACATAGATTAAAAAAATTAACTAATATAGTTGAATTATATTTTTTTATTTTTTTTTCCAAATACCCCTTTATAATATTAAATAATATATCTGTTTCATAATACTTATCACATTTGGCAATATTATCTTTGATTTAATATTAATTATCTAAGAAAATCATTAAATTGAAGTAATAATTATTGGCCATACACAAAGGGTAAACATGAAAAAAAAATATTTATTACTTCTTGAAACTACAAATGTGACAAGTGTTTTAAAACAAATTATTTTCTTAAACGTTCAATTGTTATGTGTCACGACCCATTTCCATGGACCGGACCGGCACTAGGACCTGGGTGGGCTTAAGGCCCCCGAAGCCCGTAGTAAGCCTAACTTATTCCGAAGCCCCGTATAGTAAGCCTAACTTATTTAAAATCTCACTTTCTATTTCATAATTATGGGATTCAGGCCATTAACAATTTTATACATATGAATCCAAAAATGCAGTTCATATATTTAATTGGACTTTTTACTATTTATTTATACAAACCCAACTGGAATTACATATTGCCGGAACTCTTACCTTTAATTCACATCGTTATTTCTATCATTACAATTCTTCTATAATACGTGGTTTCAACTTCCATAGGGCTTTCCCTTCTTTCTATTACCTGGGGAAAAAAATAGTAGGCAGGGATGAGCGCCAACTCAATGAGTAGGTTAGATAACCCCCTCTCACCCCATACAATCACACAAATGCTAAAATATTTTAATTTGGTCACTCGTTTAGTTATATGATCATGCAGTTTTGTCACACCAAAGGGCATTTTACAACAGCAATCACAATTATTATCACCCTTCATATTAATCACATCACGTGGAAATTAGTCAATGGCACCACCTGAATCCCAGCGAGCCGTCCTCACACATGGTCTCGCCCTAAATCATACATGTGCCACCAGCGGAGCCGGATTCCCCCATTACGGCCAAACTGCGTCTAATTCCTCACTGACCAGTCCTCTCATTGTGTTTTTCCATTCTCTCTTTTCTTTTCCATACCAACAGGAGACAACCTGGTGGTCTCCATCCAATCTAGATCATCAAGTGCTCACAACAGGAGGCCACCCTGCGGGCTACAATCAAATCTAGATTATCAGGTACGCAATAACAAGAAGCCATCCTGTGGTTTTCCATATAATCCATATCATCAGGTGCACACGGGGGCGCCGATCTCCCATTTTTTTTCCGGCCAACAGTCAAATTCCATATCATATCATATTCAGGATCCATATTACAGACCGTCCTCATAAACCCATGGTGGTCCACGTCATCCCAATTCCACACAAATAAGGCACAGTATATTCATAGCACAAGTAATCAAACAATTTTTAATCTCAATAAATAGTGCATCATAATATGGCAATTCAACCAAAATAGTGCATGATAACATTTAGCCGTGAATGCATGAATGCAGGCGGATGATACTAGTTATCTAACACTACTCACTGTTCTTTATTGTCCTTTAAAAGGACGCCTTTTTCTAGCCACATGCTTTCCAGCTTTTGTCCTCGCATTGTATTTTATTAAAGCCTTTAAAATTAACAAGAAAATTTCTAAATAAGAATTTTAATTACAAAAACTTATATTTTCACATTCGTTTATTATTTTGGCTACCGGTCATTTAATTCAACTATGTTTATATATGCATATATATATCTAGGTCCCTCATTTATATAAATAACTATTCTAATTTATAACCTTCAGATTAAAATCTCTATTATTCGGTGAGAATATTATTATAATGATAATTTAATATTGTATAATATTTCTTAAATACCTCAAATTTTCGTCGTCACTTACTTCTTAAGAATAACTAATTTAATTTCTTTATTAAGCTGTTTTTATTAAAAAAATCACAGCATTCCTCTAACTGGACTATCCAAAATTTTGTTTCAAATTTCACAAAATCCACCACCACACATCCCATCCATCGGGCAAATTCATTATCCACTAATCCCGTCCGCCCATAATCCATATTATTCGGTCACTTAATTCACCATAATTCATTATAATTAGTGTTCTATAAACTATTATTTGTTTAATTAAAATTTTCCCTAAAATTATATTATTAGCTAGGAATATTATTTTTTTTTTTTGTCCAACCTATAGTATAATTAATATTCATAAAATCTATTTAATAATATTTAATTAATTTACTTAAATTACTTAATTAAGTTCATTAATTAATTAATTCAGAATTTATTTTCAAAAAATTGCCGGGAATTAAGCTTAAGTGTTACCGATTAAATCAAAATTCATTTCCGTGTTCCGCACGGAAGAGGGAGCATTCTTGTCCCTTGACAAGCTCGCCGGAAAGTCTCGCGGCGGTCGCCGGGACCGCCGCCAGCCGCCACCGTGCACGGTGGCCGGAAAATTTAAAACTTCACCAAAATGACAAACAATACATCATTTTATTCGTTTCGATGAGAGGATCACTAATATGTGTTCAAATCAAAGGTGGGTCTGAACCAGTTGGCCGGAATTGGGCGGAAAGGTTCGATTGATACCCATTTTGGGTTTTCCGATTCCGGCTATAACAGTCGACGAGGAGCCATCAAATGAAAGAGGAAGAAGAGAGGAGGTCATTTGGTTACCTCACCTTGTGTCAAGGCTCCTTACAACGCTAGTGAATTGTCGGAAAAAGGTGTCCAAAACTTCAAGCTCTTCCCCTTCAAAATAACACAATTTCAGTTCAAATACTAAGCTATAATCTTCTTCCTCACGTTGAGTAGATATTTAGAGTATTCATTTGCTGAATTTTCGGTGGCCGGAGGAAGGAGATCGAAGGAGGGAAAGAGGAGGAGGAGGGAGCCACGCTAACTGGGAGAAGGAGAAGGAAGAAAAGAAAAGAAAGAAAAAGAAAAAAGAAAAAGAAAAGAAAACGTGGGGCCGATCCGGTTTCGATTCGAATCGGTTAACGGTCTGATTCAGTGATTTGGTCTCATTTCGGTTTTTGCGTTTTTCGGTTTTCCAATCGATTTTCGGATCCTTCGTAGTGGTTTCTCGACAAGATTAAATTGATTTTTAGGTCCGGTTTTATTTATTTTGATTATTTTAGTTAGGTTCTATAACCATTCCTTTCAATTTAAACTTAATGTTAATATTAATATCATATATATATATATATATTATATATATATTATAATAATACTTTTTTTTTTTTTTTTTTTTTTTTTATAAATTTCGTAATGTGTTTTTTGGGCTTTTGAGCCAAACTTCGTACTTGGGCCCAATTCGTAAAACTTTGGGCTCAATTAGAATTACTCGGTCTTAACAGCCCATATTATCATAAATCTGGATTTTTGATTTAATGAAAATTCAATAGTTTTGAAAATAAAAATTCGAGCTATTTCAATCTCCCCCCTTAAGACAATTCGTCCTCGAATTGAAATCTAGTGGGAAAGAATAAGAATGGACACATGAGAAATTTTAAAGTCATAAGAAATTGCTTCCACTACCAAGGAGACAGCTCAAAAGCAAAAATACAGATCGAGGAAAGGCAGTGAGTGGGGTATTCTGGTTGTACTTCTACCGTCAATTATTATATTTAGAATAAAATTTCATTCAAGCTACATAGCCTAGCTGAAGCTTATAAGGAGTTTTATTATATTAATCTTCAATACTATCATCGTTCGGCTATTGGAATCTTTAGAAAATCGCTCATTAAATAAACATCTTTCAATAAAACCGAGTTTAGCAATAAAGGCGTAATAGTAATAATGTACATTTTTCTCAAGCTTATTTACTTTCATTTGAAAATTAATTTCTT